TTAATCATTCTAGGTCTAGCCCTTGTTCAACCCTTTCATTAATGATACATAAAAAATTTATTCATCAATAAATTTAAAAATGGGACAGCAGTCTGCTCACTTCTCCTCTTCATGCCTTTGCTCTCCAAGGGGAACTTAGGATGGCTTAGAACTTTGGAGTTTCACAGTAGCTATTGTATTGTTTTGGTCTTGTAGGGGCGAGGCTGCTAAATAAACGCGCCAAAGCTCCCCCGTTTATCCATCAGGTTTTCTACTGGTATGTGAACGGGGTGAAATATAGGGGGAGGGGCTATGTTCTTGGGAAGTCAAGGTTGAACCTCCGGTGTGGTTGATGAACATTCTGTTATTAAAGTGCTGTCTTCAATTCGTCGGTGGCTTAGCAGCAGAATGCTCGCCAACCACGCATGTCGTTTAGGGTTCGATCCCCGGCCACCAACGTATTCCTGAGCCTCATTAAGCCGGCGATATTGTGGTGACAGCTGGCTGCTAGCCAAATTGGTAGACATTAATTTACGTCAATGTTTATGTCCGAAATATTAGTCATGTGAAAACAAGAACAAATACCGACTCAACAACCAATCACACCAGACTTTGCGTAGGAGGATACAACTAACAGATAGATAATCTGAACTTTAAGAAACGGCCAAAAATAGATGAAAGACTAACTTTCAGTGAGAAACAACCAATCAGAAGACTGTGTTTATTTGCTAACAATAATCGATAATAATGTACATGAAAATCTCTAAATATGTGTGTTGATTTCCTTAATAAACGATCTGTTGCCTGGCCGTTGTCTTCTGTTGTTACAATATTACCGGTAAAGAGGGAAGGTTGAACGTAAGCCTAGAAACCCCACCCATCACTGCTGCCGAAACTTCAAACCTCTAGCCTGAATCAGCCGTATATTCCACTAGGAACGAAAAAGGATAAGAAAAAGAAACACTCTCGAGTGGTTTATACCCCTTTATAGTTACATAAATGGCAGTCATTAATTAATAATAAAATTCGCATAACACAGTAGGATATTAATATTTTTTTACATTTTAATGAATACCATTTTAGAGTTTATAGTTTATGAGTTGTAATTTTATATTGCATTCTAAAATGATTCATTCATTTCTATTCGTTTAGTATACAGGTGTACAGGGCATACCCTCTGCTTAAGAAGTAAAATTTAGACACTTTGGTGTAGATGTAACGCACACACATATACACACACACTCACAGTGTGATAGGTTATTGACATCCGAATGACAAACGGAGCTCATTTTATGACTTACTTATAATCATTACAAATGTTGTATTCACACGTCTTCTTCACTTGCTTTATTATACGCTTACTCCCAACTATAAGTGTTTCTGTGAACCCAAGGTAGAATGCTCACTAACCACACAGGTCTTCCAGAGGGCTAGTTTCGCATATGCCAGTTTATGCCGCCTCTGGCTTAGTAGACGTGATATCCGACTGGCTTTCAACCAAAGGGTGGTTGTGTTGCTCAGCAGTTCGCTCCGTCTTACTTTATGGCTGCCAGTGAGACCTGGCCATTGAGAGTGGAAGACATGAAAAGCATGTCTAGCTGTCTTCGATCATAGGTGGCTGTGTTCTATCTCCTGTGTTCGATGGCATGGTATCATAGGGAGAGTAATATTGAGGTTAGGCATCAGTCGAGTGCTAGTTGGTAAGGAGGAGAAATCAATCGACGAGGTTGTGAAATTACATCGACTGAGATGGTTAGGACATATGTCACGTGTACCTAGTCATCGCCTTCCTCTACGAGGAATGTTAGCTGACACAGGGTCAGGCTGGGAAAGAGCTAGCAGCGGTGAAACCAAAACATGGCACTAGTCAATGAAATCTACGACAGTTAGTCTAAGTCACGTAGGAAGGTGTAGACTTCCTGACTGGTTGAGGTCCTCGGGATGGTAAAAACCAAAGGCTGGAGACAACTGGTGATATGGCTCGAATTCCTTCCCAATGACCAGCGCAGATGCATCCACTCCTTGTGACTTATAATTTCCAATGAAACTATATTGTTCTTCGTTTTTACTATTCCTTTGTCTCACACCTCTGTTTACTGTCTCTATTATGCATTGCTTCTACTTTCTTCTTTAACTTTGTGTGCTACCTGGAGGGAGTGTGTTGACTTGAACTGGTGCACATCGGTGCAAAGTTTTATATCGAAAACAGACAGGCAGACAGACATACAGACAGACAGTCATAACACAACCTTGCCCTGTAAAATCAATACCATGACTACTGAAAATTCAAGCCTTCAGTCAACGAGTCTATGTGTCAATGAGAGCTTATATATGAACTCGGTGATATCCAACTTCCATTTTTATCAGCGGCAGAACACATTATTAATATGAATCATTGAGATTGATATTTAAACGGCTTTCAAAATTATCTATAAAAACTGTCATCGGGGAGAGGGTGTAGTGGTTATGCTTTGTAAGTGTCGATTTGGAATCGGAGGGATACCAGAGTATATCGCTTGTCTACAGCGACAATGGATAAAGAACAGTTATCTGATTTCTCATTTTTTTTTTTTTGATTTGCAGCTTGATTCCACACTGTATTTTCGGTACAAGTATGGAATTTTCAGCATGGATATCGGTAGCCCAAATTTTGCAGGCCGACCATAGATATCAGGTGTGCGTCGGCGAGTGCTCGAACCCCGGACCATGTGCATGGTCGGCGAGAATCCTAACCACTGTGCCACCGACGCACTCCTCTACATAAGCAAGAACACGTGACGAGGTGAGACGGAAAGTATATTTGTGCAAGGAAACAAAAAATGAATAAATTGGCCAATGACGTAGGCATGATAAAGGATAGTTCATTGATTGTCCGTCTAAATATTCCTGAAATAATTGATTGGTCCATTTTTTAGACAAGACATAGATCCTTATATCATCTTCCCCTTCAGAAGAGATGTATTACTTCGGTTCAAGCTGGAATTGTACCGTCTTTTTTCAACACCTGATTGACCAATGTTCAGGGAATGGTCTGCTGTTCGGTGGAAGGTCTGGAGCACTTGAGACATCCTCCTTATGTTAAGTAAGAATATTAATAGTAACAACTGACGTAATAAAGGAAGAGTATACAAACTGAATAGATAAAATGAAAAATGAAAAATCGGTAGAGCCAAAATATAATTAGGGACTACCATACTTTGTCTAAGAGGGATTGAGACTATGAAAGTTGGGGGGGGGCGGGGCGGGGAGGGTTGAGCGAACTTTTTCTGCATACACAGAGATCTGACTTTTCTATTTCGATGAGCAAAGCTTCAACAATACAACAGATGAGTAAGCTAAATGACATTCAACTAGAGAATGATGAAAAAATGGTTAGTTTTGATATAACTAGTCTTTACACTAATATACCAGTCATTATGGCCTTAGAAGCAGTTAAAAAAGAACTAACTGCGGATCCTGAACTGAATCATAGGACAAAGCTGCCCATTGAACAAATTATGTTAGGGATTCAGTTATGTCTCACATCTACCATCTTTAAGTTCCAAGGCAAAATATATAACAAACAGAAGGTGTAGCAATGGGATCACCAATATCCCCTATTGTAGCAGACATATTTATGGACAGCTGGGAAAGTAGTGCTCTTAATACGTTTAACCCCACTCCAAAAATATGGTGGAGATATGTGGATGACACTTTCACGGTGTTAAAAACAGAACATATCTCTAGCTTCCTGACACATATAAACTCACAAGTAGGGAATTAAATTCACATTTGAATCAGAAAATGAACTAGGAGAATTAGCTATGTTAGATTGTAAAATAAAACGAATAGAAGAAGGCAAACTACACACTAGTGTTTATAGAAAACCAACGCATTCTAATAGATATTTAGACTTTAATTCGTCTCATCCGTTAACTGTTAAGGCAGGCTTAGTAAAGTGTCTAACAAATCGAGCCATAGCACTAAGTAGCACAAAAAAAGACCTAAATGATGAAATAAAACAGATAGAAGAAGCGTTGGTGTTGAATAACTATCCTATAAAATTCATTAGGAAGATCACCAAAAACCAAAAGCAAAATAAAAATAATGGTGAAACTATTAATGATAACACAAATAAGAAAGAATATAAGTCATCCACTGTTATACCATATAAGGAAAGCACATCTGAGGCCCTACGTAGGATTCTTAATAAAGCAGGAATTAGGGTGGCATTCAAACCTACAAACTCACTCAGAGACAAGCTCTGTAGGCTAAAAGACCCGGTGGATCCAATTAAACAAAATAATATAATTTACAAAATACCCTGCAATAACTGTGAGGTCAACTACATAGGTCAAACTAGTAGGTCAGGGATAGTCAGATTAACAGAACATAAGAATTTAGCTAAGGTAAGAATGGTTGACCCTAAAAAGATAAGTAATTTAGAAAAAAGCTCAGCTATTGCACTTCATGCAATAACAAACAACCACACAATAGGGTGGGATAGGGTTAAAATTCTAAAAAGTAATATAGCTAAGTGGAGAGAGAGGTTGATTACGGAATCCTTATTTATCGAGTCCACACCCAACACATGCAACAAAAATGACTCAATGCAAATACCAGAGATATGGAAGATATTATTACCGCAGGTCAAATCAGAAGAGGGTAATAAATAATATTAAAATTCTATTTCAATTCAAACACATTCTAACAAGCAGCTTATTATGACTGTAAAAACACTCGTCCAATTTTCCCATCTAATTGCAATTGATCAACAACACTAGTACGATTATTTCTGAATGTACATTATCTCACATTGATTTTTAATCCAATATCTAATCCATTCCACACATGTATATAAATGAGAGATCAAAGTTGTGTGAGTAACTTGATATGATTATGAGTGGCAATAGTTTGTGCTCGAAACGTCATCAGTTCATATAACTGTAAACACTGTGCGATTTATCAAAATAAAATCTTATCGATAATGGAAGATGAGTTGGGTACTTAGTGATTTGGACAAATTATTTTTCACCTTGCAGATGACTAGATATTCAAAGATCGTGCTTCTTATTGGCCCCCCCTCCTGTTCTACTTCTTCGTAACCCTGCAGGAGTATAGTGCTCTTCTATCTTCTTGGACAAAACTCGAGTCGAACAACATGAGCAGGTGAAATGGCAACAGCGGGATCTTGTCCTTCAGGTTACTGTATAATGAAGGTCTACTGCAAAACGCTATTATCAACGATGCAGCAGGGAATATCCTTTCCAGGGACTTTGACATCCTTCTTTTAATGATATTGTAAGTTAAGTGAGTCAGTCAGTCAGTCACCTTTGAATTCCAAGCTCATGTAAAGTATTTTCTTGGTTACAGATGATAAAGCTTAAGGCATATCATTTTTGAAGGCATAGATTGAAAATCTTTTAAGAGAAATGATTAGTTCATTTTCCAGATATAAACTATTGATCCACACACACACATCAGGGAGGAAAGTATGCAATAATATGCGAAGGCAACAGACATTCATTAATTTCAGCTTCTTGTCTATTTACCAAATTAAATTTTCTTATACTTGACCTACCTTATTAAAAATTTCTGTTAGATTGTTGTATTAGATCCTCCTGCCTCCTGCCTCCTGCCTCCCCACCACACCACTTTGTTTATTTGTTTTAATTGACCTTTCATGTTATATTTCTCATTGTGATGTAAATTGAAATGACAAGTAGACACTTCCGAGTGTGTGTGTGTGTATGTGTGGCCAGATTGTTCGAAATTTATTCCACGAATGAATATTACTCATCTTTGTCAAATATGTTGTGTCCTTTTCTAATTTCCTACTGAAGGAATAAGAGACTCTTCAAGCTTTAAGTTCTGTTCTTGGTTTCTGTAGCCCTCTTTAACTGGTTTTCTGACTGCTCCTCAAACAATTATCTCCATGTCAATTTTGGATCACCAATGAATGCGATGTTTCCTACTCTGGTTGCATTCAGGAGCATATCTGTTAGGCTATGCCACTCAGCGGTCTCCACCAACGTGTTACCAATACATCTCTACTTTCAGGATTTCATCATGAGCTGATACACCAGTTAGAGAACCATTCGAAAACCTGAGAGTACTGGACCTCCAGCTGTTTCGTCCTAGTTTGGGACTCTTCAGCAGTACGCACCCAGAGGGATTCGAACCCAAGAACTTCTGGTTACACGGCGAGCTCGTATACCATTAAGCCACTGGGACCTGATCCAACCAGTAGGTCCTGGGTTCGAATCCCGGTGGGTGCGTACTGATGAAGAGTCCCAAGCTAGGACGAAACAGCTGTCCCAGGTTTTCCAATGGTTCTCTAACTAATGTCAGCTCATGATGAAATCCTGAAACCAATCAAATCCCTACAAACCATCACTTGAACATCTCTGCTTTATTTGGTATATTTATAGGGCGGTAGATTGTTGGTTGGTTGGTTCGTACTTTTTTCCTTGTCCATCTTGGCCAGCACAGTCTGATCTTTACAATCACACCGCCAACGAAGCCAGCTCCAGCTGGATATGCTTTTTCTGACGTGTATGCAAAGTCTCTTAAACATATAGAATCAATGACTGAGTCGATATTAGTATTGAAAATCTGAATTGTATTCCTTATTGCTGAGTTCACTAGATTTCTAGCCTGTTTTGAGAGTACTGAAGGTTGGCCTGTTTGGCTTTTCTGATCTTGACTGATTTTGACTTCCCCCTCCCCCCGCCCAAAGGTGCCCATGGTCAAAATGATTCTGCCTAGATAAGGGAAAGTTTGAACAAAGCACGAACTACAGTTTTAGCAGAATAAAATGGTATCCTTCTTTTATTTCGTTGCCTTCTCGTCAGTTGCTTACATGGCAAAGACATTTAAATGTATCTGCGGGAGCAGTTACACTAGAAGGACAGAAAGAAGGGCATATCTATGGTTTTCTGAACATTTACCGAAAAGCTTACGTCTAAAGGGAACAAATGCTTTAAACAGTGCCATCCATCTCCAGATATCTCCTCGACACGGGTCATTAGGTGGACGTCGAAAAGTCGTTCAAAATTATCAGTAGACAAAAGAGCTCAATTCTACTTAAGTTTGCTGAAGCCATTTCCATCAAGCGCCTGAAACCTGATTTGTGCATCCAGAAAGGAGAAGCAGTTATCAGTCTTTCTTTGCCCTGGTAACTGGATAATTTCACCTCTTTTTCATCCGAATGCGAAATGTTAAGAGTTTCCATTGTGTTTGATGATTATTATTGTTCGGAATAGTGGTTAATATTGCATATTTATATATGTATATATTTTTAGTGTATGAGTATATTGATCGATTGATTTTTGTCTAAAATGAACTCTGTGCAAGTATGTCAAAATTGTTGTTGTAGATATATTTATTAATGCCTTTGCCATGTAAGCAGGTGACGAGAAGGCAACAAAATAAACAATGATGGTACCACTTTATTCTGCTTAAACTGTAGTTCGTGATGTGTTCAAATTCATTAAGGGGAATAAATGTATGAAATAAGTGAAAGCCCTGACTTCCATTAAATTCCCTCTATCGATGGTACTTGATGCTTGTCGTAGGTATGATGAAGAAGATTTGTAGCTAGCTCAGATGGATGATTTTGATGTGGTTGTGTTCTCTGAGCCAGCTGGATAGTTAATTTGCGAAGCTTTCATTGCCCGACTTACTAGGCAACATCCTCACTTCAGCGCATTATTCAATTCGTTCAAGTGAGCTCCACTCAGTTCTATGCCAAGCAAAAAGATTCAACAACGAAAGAAGACAAAACCAACATCATTTACAAAATAAAATGTAACAACTTCAAAAAACAGTACATTGGTCAAAGTGGACGCCCTCTTTGTCTTCTTCGTATCCATGATCATAAGCTAGCTGTCAAAAAACGTGGCATCCACTTCCTCACTCATATCACTGGATATAGACAACCACGAACATCGATTCAACTGGGACAACCAACGTTCAAATATTAAACAGAGGAATTTTTAGAAGGCTGCCTGGTATTTTAGTGAATCATCAATCAATAGACACATCGAGATAGACAAAATATACCAACCGATAAGAAAGAACCCCCCCCCCCCACACACACACAAAGCGTCAAAGTTCAAGTCAAAGAAACAGTCATTTGCAATACAAGTAACCTAGAGGGTGTGAAAATATACAAAAACAACCAATCACGTTCAAAGTGGTCACCAGGGAGATGACTAATGGTGAACTCGTGGAGAAATCTACAAAGCTCACTTCACCAAATTGAAGTATGCGCTGAAGATGTTGCCTAGTAAGTAGGGCAATGAAAGCTTTGCAAATAAACCACCATCCAGCCAACTCAGAGAACACAACCACGCCAAAAGTGTCCTATCATCATTTTTAACCTGTTCTGTCAGTTTGTTGGTTTTTGCTTGTAACATATTCCAGTTTCTGAGGTTTAGATAAGATTTTCTGAAGTTTTATTGTCGATTTAACGTGTTTCTTTCTTCTTGCCCTCCACAGTGGGTTGTATAGTCCATCCAGTCCATTGAAGTCAGAAATGCCATCATCATCATCATCATCATCATCATCATCATCATCATCATAGTCATTATGCATCCTTCACTATTTACGTCTGCATATTTGTTGGAATACGGATTGTTGGCTAGTTGGTTTGTTCTCAGAGTTTCTCCAATATTATATCGATTTTCAAGTGTTGATTTGTAGGGATTTAATTGGTCGCTCTGGGGTCGCACTATGTCATGAATTGGCGGAAGTAAGAATTCATGAGGTGTTGGATTAGGTCCCACTGGCTTAACTAGGACGAAACAGCTGGAGGTCCAGTACTCCCAGGTGGTTTTCCAATGGTTCTCTAACTAATGTCATCTCATGATGAAAATTACATTGATTTATTTTAAATATCACACACAGTGATGACACAGTTTTAACAACTAAATGAACAAGGTTTCGAGGATAAACGATTGCTACTCATGTTCATACCAGTTTAGTCACATGGCTTCATTTTTGCTTCATAGATATTTTCTCTTTCTCTCTCCCTCCCTCTTCACCTTTTTGTTTGTTTGCACTTTCCACACCGCCGGTCTAGATGTTGTCCAACTTCGATTGCACATGTACAATGTTAAATCCCGTAAACAAAAATTCAGTGAATAACCTTTCTCTCTCTCTCCCTCTCCCTCTACCTAACCACTATCTTACTTGTTAATACTCTCATCCTATCCTACCCACACCATTTTGTGCAATGCAATGGCTAAGCTATTTTCTAGATTACTTAATTTAACAGGGTCAATCATTCTAGGTCTACAGGATTTCATCATGAGCTTACATATATAAAGGATATCTCATAAATCACTACAAGACTCTTCAAACCTCTAAGAATTGACGTCGTACACAAACCAACAAAGTCGCTGCACTCACTTCTATGTCAACCAACAGACTCAACAGCGAAAGAAGATAAAACCAACATCAACATAAAACCAACAAAATAAACTGTAACAACTGCGAAAAACACTACATTGGCCAAAGTGGACGTCCCCTTCGTCTTCGTATCCACGAACATAAGTTAGCCGCCAAAAGACATGATATCCACTCCCTCATACTACTACATACAGACAACCAAGGACATCAATTCGACTGGGACAACCAGTGTTCAAATATTAGACAGAGGAAATAACAAGAATGCTAGAGAAGTTTTAGAAGCCCGCCTATTACTCCAGTGAATCATCAATCGATAGACACACCGAGATAGACAAAATTTATCAACCGATAAGAAAGAAACTTCACACACAAAGGGTCAAAATTCAAGTCAAAGAAACAACCAGTTCGAATACAAGTAACCTAGAAGATGTGAAAAGACACATAAACAACCAATCACGTCCAAGTTCACCGACCAGGTGAGATGATTAATAAACTCGTGGAGAAATCTAAAAGCTCACTTCACCCAGTAGGGTGATGAAGGCTTCGCAAATTAACCATCCAGCTCAGAGAACAACACCACATCAAAATCATCCACCTGAGCTACAAATCTCCTCTATCATATCTACTTCTGTCTTCCTTCTGCTGTATTTTTCACCTGCATCCATGTTAGTCCATACGGTTCCAACTCCTCTTCACACCGTTTCCTCCATGTCACCCTTGCACTGACGTCCCACTCTCCGCTTCCCTTTCGGCCTGGTTCCACTCAAGCAATGGCCTGACGCGCGCAATGCCACCCAGCGGCGGCCTCCTCAGCCACGAGTGTCCAATCCATCTCCACTTTTCCCTGCATATTTGTTGTTGTTGGGCGATTGGTTCTTGTTTTGTTC